TTATTATCTCGGGAGCGAGAAGAGCTGGGAGGGTGAAAGCTTCAGAAGGATGTCTTTTGCTTATGCCGGGGACTAACACACTCAAACGTAGCTCCCAAGTATTACGAGGTCGCAAGCACAACCACGTAAAAGTTTCGATACGAAACTTACTTTGAAAGTCGGAGAAGTGAAATTTTGGAACAATGTTTATCGTCCAAGGTTCCAAATCTATCTTTCACGTACGTTTGCGTACTGGTGCGTGAAATCTTATAAAATTTCGTCGCTTAAGAACCACAGAACATATCGATTATTTTTTCACAGGCTAAAGTGTAAAACAGTGCAAGTCTTTAGCAGACAAAATTGCTGGTCGGAATTGCACAAAACGCATGATCACACCAGTTATACTGATGCGCGCCGTGATTTATTTATTTATTTATTTATTTTTTTTTTCTTACTAATATCCAGGCCATGTGGCTTTTGTAGCGTTTTGTGGTTTTCACGGGTTTTCATCTTGCTGGAACTCAACAGCCCCTTGTCAATTCTACATCAGTCTTGCGAAAGAGAAAGCCACCTTCCCCAAGGTTGATGTAAAATTTACATACAGTGATTTGTTAGGATAACGGAAAAGTGCTTGATGAGAGGCTTGTGGCCTTTCATCGCTTTTTCCAAGTTCTCGCCCTTTCCACGATCATATTTCTGGGAAATTTGATTGAAAAACCAAAAAGCAAATGATTCTTGTCCTTTTTGTTTTACTAAAAATATGTGGAATTTTGAGTGAAATTCTGAAAAGCCAGGGGTATTCTTTGCGATTCCCAGATTCGTTTGTGACATGCACATTTTTCCAGAATTCTTCCGTTAGACTTTTTTCTTCTAGTTATGGCCGATCCTAGTATTCCAAGTAAGTTTCATTGCTGATCATATAGCAAAGATGGCAGATAATTGATGGAGGAATTGAATACTCTAACTGTGCTCGCGATTTTCTAAAAGAGCGTAGGAAGACCGCTGATACGTTTGGCAGACCCGCTGACTCGAATACATGAAATCGTTTGGCTGCGGAAAGCGCAAGATTGTGTTCAATGCTCGTGCAGATGGAGAATCAGACTAATAATTAACAATTGTTCCAGGCATTGCAAATATTTCAAGTATTACTGCAATATAAGCAGTAATTTCAGGAATGGGCTCTGAGAGGTGTTAAAAAATCGTACAGTAAAGGACCGGCCAGTTTACGAGACTTATATACTGATGCGGATATCGCTGCTCAAGACTGCATCATTTCCTCGTTGCATAGGCAGTTCGGCGAGCATCTCAGAATCATTGGTGAGGAAGTAAGAAACCTGCACTCTTAATTTTTGAGTATTCCTTATGAGATTTTCCTCCACTCATCAAGCAGATTTTGTTTAAAAAATTTTTTCGCTTATAAAATTATCCGGCTTTTGAGGAAGTCTGGGCTAAAATTCCCGAGATTTCTCAGTGACATGCCTCCTCTTTTGCGACGCATTTTGGATCGATTTTTTGCACATTTTCTCATTTTCAGTATTTCACAGGAACTGCAATAAGCAGCAATTTTCATTACATTAGCATCCAGTTATCAGTGCGCTACTGATTGCTTTCTTTGCGTGTGACAAGGAGAATTTGTGATGTAGAAGGTCACTGCTTCCTGCATTTTTTGCTGCACAAAACACATAATGTCGTAGGGTTGTGCGTGCGTGTGTGTGTGTGTGTGGGTGTGTTCGTGCGTGTGGGTGTGTGCATCCGATGCGTTTTTTCCGCAGCTTTCAACTCGGAAACCGCTGAAGCTAGGAAGCTGAAAATTTAGGAGGGTGTTTCTTCCTCACGTGTGACCCCGCGAATTTAAATCCAGCCTCCTCCTTCGCCTGGATACCACGTGTACGATCCCGTGAGAGTACTGGTGGGAAAAATTGTCACCTCAAGGATCAAAAAAGTTGTGAAACTGAAATTTTATGATAATGCTTCCTGCCTACGTACAGCCTCGCGAATTTAAATCCAGGTTTACATACCCTTAGGTACCAAGTACGGCCAGTTGAAAATTTTAGCGAGAAAATTATTATCTCGTGAACCAAAAAAAACTAAAAGGCTGAAATTTTGCGGTGGTATCCCCTGCCAAGTACATCCCCCGCAAACTCAAATTCAGCTCTCACGCTCAACTGGATCTCCAGGTTTCCATAAAAGTTTTGACGGAAAGAATTTTCTCGGGGGCTAAAAAGCTGAAAAGGAAGATGTTTTTTGCCTATGCAGAGGCCTTATAGACCCAAATTTAGCTCCCATTTATGCCTAGGGCACGTGAAAATTTTGGCGCGAAAGCCACAAACTCGAAAGTCGAAAACCAAGAAGCTGAAAGTTTGTGAAGATATTCCTCGCCCGTGTGAGATCCAAATTTATTCAACCCTTACGCACGCTTACGTTTACGTAACGGTGAAATTTTTATTGGAAAATTTCGCAGCTTGGGGAGGAAACAACATATCTACTGTTTTTGCACACACGAAAGTGTAAAACACTAGTGAAAATTCTCAATAGCAAACTTTCGCTAGACAGAATTGAGTAAAATGCTTGATCGTTCCGGCCGTCCGGTGCTTGCTGCTGCTTATTATTTGAAATATTGGATTTTCCATCTTTCAGAATATAACCCCTTTGGGCACCAAATCAAACTGTGGATTCGATAGTAATGTTGTGTTGCAAGACGATAAGTGCAGCGATGAAATTCGTCGAATATCTTCGGACGAAGTAGGTCCCCCTTGCAGAAAGTTTTTTTTTTTTTGAATATTCTCTGGTCTAGTAAAGGAACCGTTCATGTGAAATTATTCAGTGAAGGATGACCACGTGGCTCCAGTGCACAGTATGACCTTTTTTTTTTTTTTTCAATGGGGAAGCGATGCATTTGAAAATCCGTACATTCTTAACTTCTGCCACGCCTCTTCTGGAAAGGAAAGTTGCCGGCATTGGTGACGATCTATCCAGACTGCGAAATGACGGTTGCCCAGGTTTTTCAGGCAGATGCTTCTCTTCTGAAGTTGGCCTTTGCGGAGAAATATGCGATGATTGTATAGAGGTGGGATCAAAGACCACGTGAGCAGCGAGAGGCAGTAGATCATTTTTCTTTCAAAAACAGGACAAGCATTAAGAAGTTCCCACAGCAGTTGTTACGTTCCCATAGCATCGAGCTAAAATGTGTTTCTTTAAATCGCCAAGTTATGTGGGGCTAAGTTGGAAGAGGTTGCAGGTGGTGATTTGGGTAGATCCACTGGATGGTACTTACGAACTAGTAGCTGCCGAAGGCAATACTTGTAAGTTTTACAGCTTCTGCTTTTTTATTTGTGCAAATACGCCTTTCGTTTTTTCATTTTTTTTTTTTTTTTTACAGCTTTTTCCATATTTCATCTATTTTTAGTCTTTTTAGCTTTTGCTTTGCATTGCTGGACATTGTATTGAAATAATAGCTTATCATAGTATGCTTCTCAGTGCTGTTGCCATTGAC